ACTATTACCTTAAACGCGAAAAGAAACATTTCTATAAATGTCGGTTTATTTTTTGTAAATACTTTTTATTCTAAATTAATATACTATTATGAAAATGACTATTTTTAATTGGATATCTACCAATTCAAGGTAAATATGGAAATGATCTTTGGTTCGAGTTCTCGTACATTCACGGTTAATCATCCAATGGGGTCACGGCTAAACCGTATTTCAAATTTTAATCGGACTGAACATTGGATTATGGATTTAAGTAACCGACATCTTTTGAGTTTATCTTGTCTAATTTTAAAATTATTCAATAACGATATAGAACGTAAGTTATTTTATTACTAACAATAACCGTAAAATTAGTGAAATCAATGATTCTGATAATCTCTCTTTTCATAATTATAAAAAGACAGTTAAATAATCATTTATTTATTCACAATTTTATAAACTCTATTAAAATTATTTGCAATGTATGATGATATAGTATGTAAGTTATTCAATTTCTATTATCATTTATTTATAAAATTTAAATTTACTAAAATTTAGTATTTAAATTTTTCATAAAAATAGTTAGTAAATTATTTATATTCTAATATTTATTAAGTATAAATTATAAATTCTATTAAATTATTATAATTAACTTTATTTCATACAGAAAGTAAGTTATTTATTGTATATTTTTCGTTAAAAACAAATTTATTTATTTTTTTTTAAAATGAATAAATTATTACAAACATTATAGAAGATAAATTCTTTCAAATTATATTGAACAACTTGACAAAATGTAACTTTGAAACTAAGTTATTATACAATTATATTATGTTATTAACTGAATCTTTTAAAAAAAAAAGAGTTTGAAATAAAAGATCATTTGAGTTAAAAAAATTTAGATTAGCACATTTCCATTAGTCTGAATAGAAAATATATCATAATATTTAATCATGGTAATTTAAATTTATTATTAATACAATATATTAGTTCAGTAAATTAATTCTTTATATTTATATTAAAATTATTAAATATAATCAATATAAAGAAATTGATAAGAAAGAATCACGTAAATTTGATGATGAACACTTTGAAGAATATATCTCTCAAATTAAATATTCAAAATGGATGTTAGCAATATTAAATGATATTGAAAAAAATGTAATTTTTGTTGTAATATCTTATGTAATAGAAAACGTTATGGAAACTGTTATTGATGTTAAAGATACAACCACTAGTGAGATTGATAAAAAAATCTCATTGAAAGCTAATTCAAAATAAAATAAGTAGTATTTGAATGGAAAAACAGTAATATATAAGGTAGATTTATCTGAATATAAGTAAAATAATATTGAAATATATAAAAAAAACATCAGTGGAATTGTTTCTTTTGTACATAAGAATAATAATGAGAAAAAAAATTCTAGTACAAAATACTTAATATTTAATGCTTATGGAATCTATAGAATCACATTTTCTAACCTTAATAATTATTCATTAATGAATTTTAAGCATTTTAATTATCCAAGAAGTCTTGTTATTGAATTAATTACTTTATACAAACATAAATCATGTATGTTAAGAATTAAAAATTGTATTTTTATAATTTTTATATTAAGCAATATAGAGAAAGTATTTAAGTTATGCAATTATATAATCTAAGAATCATGCAAATACAGCAGATTTTTAATATATATGAAGAAAAAATATATTCAAATAAATATAGCAAATCTATTTTAGCTATTTCAGAAAATAAGCAAATGATTGTCTTTTCTTCTGGATATGGAAAATTGGCTCTTTATTTAACAGAAAATGGTCTAGAAATTATTATTAATGATTTCAAAAGAGATACAAAAATAATTGCTTTCGATTTTAATAAGAATGATAAATTAATGATAATTATTAAAAAAGTTAAACACGAGGGAATAAATATTTTACTTTGGAATTTATATACACATGAATATCAATATAATATTCTATTAGATAAAGTTGATATTAGTATTTTTAATAGTGTAAAATTTCTGATAAATACGTATCTGTTAATGAATTTAGCAAAATATTATTATTATATGAGAATTTACATTTATTAATTAGTATGATAAAAGAAAATGATCATGCACCAAAATTTACATTATATAGTAGTGGCAAAAGAGTAAACTCTAATATGAATGTAAAAAAAATAGAACACAAAAACAATCTTATTTTTCATTAAAATCTTTTAATAATCAAAGCAAAGATTCTTAAAGATAATATTGAACCATGGATAACTGGTAATTATAATGAAATATGGGTATATCTTGATTCAAAGGAATCGATGCAATTATATATTGGAAAATATACTGTTCAAATATGGTGTAAAATCGAGAAAAATGAAAAATTTGTTCTTAAATATTTTTGGGCTAACAAAGATTATAAAAATAAATATTCATTACGAATATTAGAATTAGATATTTATAACAATGATTTTTTTCTTAAACTAGAAAATAACATTCAGATTAAATGGTCTTATAATGACAAAAATAATATTAATTTAATGAAGCATGCTTGTGATGCCTTTGTATATCTAAATTATCAAAGATATCAATTAATCAGATATGAGAATCAGCATAGTAAATAATCAATTATTATTATATTTATTATTTTTTTTTAATAAATAAATGCTAAGGTTTTACATTAATTTTCAGTATTTGAGGAGATTAAGTATAATATTTCTCTTATAATTTAGAGATTTATCAGAAATTATCCAGATATTTGGAAAGTATTAGATATTCACTATAACCTTATGACAAAAATCATAATTAGTGAAACAAATGCTCTCATTAAATATATTCTATTTAACGATGATAAAGTAAATCATAAATATTTGCATATACTAAGAATAACTTAATAGAATAGAAATACTAAAGAAAATGATAAATTAGAAAAATAACAAAAGAAAAATTAATTTAAGTAAATTAAGTGATTTATAACTAGTGTAAACCAAGTAATTCTATTATTGAAATTTTATAAAATTAAGTATTTAATATTAATAAATAATTTTCTTTATAGATTTTGAAAGTAATCGCAGAATTTTAGTGATAACTTATTTACTTGAATATTATACAAAAAATGCAACCAAAATATCTTAGGTGATTAATCACTTTTTCAAAAGCATTACCAGATTTATATACATATAAATTAGATTTGTATATTTTTTAAGATAATTTTCAACTTACTTATTCATTTTAAAAATATTTTTTTTTTTTTAAATAGAGTATTTTGTAAGCAAATTATTTTACAAAAAATGCATGAAAAGTATAGAAATATTAAATATTATTGATCATAGGGATTTTATGCCTGATAAGTTTAAAATGAATTCAAATGCAAAAGTTTTCAACAGCATTTAATCCAAATTCAAATCTTAAAGAAACAAGCGTGCTGAAATCTAATTTTGAAGCTTTAAGAAATTATTTGAAATCAAATTTAACAAAACTTTACATTAAAATTTTTTTAAATGATTATAAAAATTATTCTTCAATTGTAAAAATAGTTTCTTTACATAATTTTACTGTTAATAGTATATCTTAAAAAACTAATGACCATGAAGGATCATTTTTATCAAAATATTGAAACTATTATTTATTACTTAAGGCTATTTTGTTAATAATTCAGATAATACAGAAAAATTTTCATAACTTAGTCTATTTATTCGAATCATTAGATCAGAAAGTAATAATGACATATTTAATAATCCAGTTATATTAATTACAAATGGCATCCAGCAAGAAATCATTTTCTTCAACTATTTTTTGTGTATATTTTATTTGCAGGTTATTTTGCAACTATTTATGGAAGTTACATTACACATTCTGAAATAAAAGGATATTATTGTAATTTTATATTGTTCTTTTTGATTCTTTTTTATTATTTAAGATACTATTTATTAATTTTAAAATACAGACAGTTTAGACATTAAAGCTGGAAATATTATATTAATTTATTTAATTGTGCAGATCTGGCATCAACTGTTTCAGCAATTTTTGTAATATCATATTATATTAGTTCTAAATATGCTTTTGCTAATGCTAAGACCACCCAAGAAAATACCATTGCAATTTCTTTTATAATGCTATTATTGTAATTTAAATTTGTATGTATCTTGTAATCTTTCTTTTTTATAAAAAAAACTTTTAACTGTAAATTAAATTATTTATCAAATAGATTTTATATCTTTGGTTATTATCAGGTAATATAGAAAGATTACATTGATGATTTTCTTCATATTAAATATATTTAATTTCTACAATAATCGTTCTTTTAGAACTAGCAAAATATATTGTTAAGCCTAAACACTACATCGTTAGAATAACAAAGTTTATTTGCTAACAAGAAGTTTAAGTTGTAAACTATAAAAGAAATAAACACGAATTTATTTAAGTTGAAGGGTCAAGTTGTCTTTATTGATAATTTATATTTAAGAAAATAGATAATGACAAAGATATAGTTTTTAGGTTGTTAAGATTATACTTTATTAATTACATAATAGAAACTTGTTAATTTATCAAGGCGACAATACAGGATATTTATATAAAATACAATTATAAGTAAGAGATAATAAATATAATAGTGAAAGTAAATATAACTATGATAATAAAGAAAATAAATATTACAATGATAACCGTAATAGCAGTGAAATTAGTGAAAATGATAATTATGATTTTCCTAGTGATCATAACATTTTAACTGATGCAATCATTTAGTAATATAAATGGATTATCACTAACAACTTCCTCCTCTAACATCCAAGCTTCTACTATGATACTAGCTTCCTGTACAAGTTGTTGATATTGTTCATGATTAATACGAGAGAGCATTCCTATAGTTGTATGCTTAGTTCAAGCAATTTGGTCTATTCTAATTAATTCATATAGGTAATATACTCGTATGATTACTTTTCAGTAATATAATTAGAGAAGGTTTATACATTGAGTTCTTTCAGTTAATGATTCAGTTTTAGTTTCAATAGCTTTTCCATATACCAAAGAACTATTAATATTTTGACTCAATTTCATAAGCATTTTGCTCTTCTAAGTTATTAAAGTAGAGATTTTACTTGTTATAATCAGTATCGTTATGTTGATAAAAAGGAGATAGAATATCTGGGTAAAGTAGCTCAGTTTATTATAAGTCTGCTAAAATTTGATTATATAGTTCTATTTTGATTTTTGGGAAAAAAAGGTAGTGTTTAATCAATATCCATTCTATTTATATAAATTTTTAATAAACTTCTATTTACAGGAGTTTTGAGGAATTTTCTGTTTAATTCCCTAATCTTGTAAGCTCTGTTTCCAATTATGTTATGTATATAATATGGTCCTTTCCATTTTGGATCTAGTTTTCCTGACCACTGCTTATCTAGTATTACTTTGTAATACAAAACTTGGTCGCCTATTTGGTATGACACAATTTTCTTTAATTTTTCATTATATCGATCTTTCTGCTTTTGTTATTCTTTTTGCAAATTTTGTTAAATAGTATCACGAATAATTGGCAGCTGATCTAATTGTTTTTCCATATAGTTGAGCAGGAAGGATTCCTTTTCCATTTCTGTACTATCCATTGGCAATTTAGCTTCCCATCCATATATGAGGAAAAAGGGTGACATTTTTATAATAGAATGTTTATTTGTTCAATAAGCAAAAAGTGCAGGGGCAAGAAACGATTCCAATCCTTTTAAATATTGGTAGCAGTTTGTGCAAGGGCTTCTATTAAAGTTCTATTAAACCTTTTAACTAATCTATTAGTCTGTAGATGATATGGCATCGATATTCTATGAGGTATTTCAAATTTTCGTAATAATTCATATAATAGTTGATTATTGAAATGTGTACCATGATCAGTAAGTATTTCTCCAGAACATCCATGTCAGCAAATTATATCTTCATACATGAATTGCACAGTTGTTTTAGCAGTAGCTTTTTTTACAGGTTTAGCTTCTAGCTACTTGATTAAATAGTCTATAGCGACAATTATATATTTGTTTCCCTTACTGAAAACTAGTGAAGATCTAACGTAATCTATTCTAATACAATGAAATAGTTGTCCAATTGGTATAGGATGTAAAGGTTCTATTCTTAAGGCTCTTTCTCTCTTCTAACAAGAGTCATAGAACTGCACATAGTTTTTGATGTCTTCAAACATTTGAGGCAAATAAAAACGTTTTCTAATTTTCTCTATCATCTTTTCTTTTAAACTATGAATGGCACACAATGTGAAAGTGGGGGTTTGAGGACAGAATGTCCGATCCCCACTGAAACATAGTGTGTGTGGGCCACAGAACGTTAAAAACATTATCGTTTTTTTTATTATATTAGAAAGCTTCTAACGGCTCTAGAATCTTATTTTTCGATATTATATTTTTTAATT